ACCGGTTCTCCGAACTACTCAAAATTTCCGCTACCGGTTCTCCGAACTACTCAAAATTTCTGCTACTGGTTTTCCAGAACTACTCAAAATTTCCGCTACTGGTTTTCCAGAACTGGTCAGAACCTGCTGAATACCACCTCTGTGGTGAATGTATTCCTGAAACGCCAAATTGGCATGAATGGGTTTGTTTCGGACCGCTGTTTGAGATTGTCAGATTGTCTCACCAGTCTCTTCCCCCCCCTCCCCACCTGAATCTTGACAAGGGTCCCTTGGCTCCTCCCAATCTCACCTTGTCTGTCCTCTTTTCCATCTTGGTAGGGACTCAAAGCCCTTCTGGATGGGGTTGGTGGACTCTTTGCTCCTGTCGAAGATCCGGTGGGCCCTGGGCCTTTCCCAGTGCCAGAAGCATTTCTCCGGAGCGGCCCCTCTCCCCGCGGAAGTCTCCCACTTCTTCCTTGGCCTGAACATCCCCATTTATGAAGGTTACGGGATGAGCGAAACCTCCGGTCCCTTTTGCATATCTGGGCCACACGTATATCGACTCCACAGGTAAAGATCCGGTCTATTCTCCTTAGGAGCCCCCACCAAAGAAACTTGGATGCTTAGCTTGCAGGTGGTCAGAGTAGACTGGGCTGGGGCCATCTTGCAAAGATAAGGGATGAAGAAAGGTATTTTGTGGCGATTTCCTGGCCATCCCTGGCATCTAATCGCTCTGGGTGTTGAGTGTGAAATGTAGCTTCACACAAAATTGTGGTCACCCTGTGCGAGTGCGGTCCTTTACTATCCAACTCCTTGCAGTTAAAGACCGCATGGCTGCCTTTTTGCAACGTGTGAAGCTTAGTTTTTGTGACGATGGAGCTCATTTGTGGTTAATATACTGGCAAATAAAAGCATTGGTTTGATTTAGTAATCCTACTATGGAATTCCATGCATTATTTGGACTCCCTTGGAGACGCAAGAGCAGGGTTTCTCAACTGTGGCAACTCAAAGAGGTCTGGGCTTCCAACTCCCGTGGCTGTCTGTCTCATTCTTCCTGTTTTCCATGTTTCCAATACAAGTGCATACTTTGCAAAAACATGTTTCACAGTTAGCAACGGCTCAGAAGGATTACAAATAGTTCTGGTCCATTTTGAAATCATCCTATCTAAAACTTTGGTTCATGTCTCTTTATTCTGGGACTTGCTATCATCCAAAGGCCTTATTAAATCCGATAGATTAACAGCCTATATTTTTGTTTCTCACAGTTGAAGCCCACACCTCTTCCAATTGTCCAGGGTGAGAAACAGGGCTCTGAAACAAGATTTGGATTTTCTCCAAAGGCAGATCTGCTTTCCCATATTTCTAGAACCATTTCTCCTTAGGGGTATTGGGGACATTTTCATGACATATCTGGAAGCCGTTGAGCGCCAGAGCTCCAATATTTTAAAGATCAAGCTAATATACAACTGCAATTAAAAAAAGAAAAAAGAAGGCTGGGTCTGGTCTTTTCTGGTCATCCTTCTGGCACCACCAGCCCACTCCAGGAAAAGGCAGCACTCACCTCTTCTCATTGTGGTGTTGGAACTCTTGTTTCTGCTGTCTGTCCTTTCCTTGCAGCTGTGGCAAGGTTGTCCCAGGCTGCCATGTTAAGATAGTAAACGAAGACGAGGACGGCCACGGGGAAATTTGCTTTTGGGGACGGAATGTCTTCATGGGCTATTTGAACATGGAAGACAAGACCAAGGAGGTGATTGACCAGGATGGCTGGCTGCACTCTGGAGATCTTGGAAAGATGGACCAGGATGGATTTGTTTACGTCACTGGAAGAATTAAAGGTGGTGCCTTCCTTTGCTGTATTTTGAAGTTCTCCAGATGTTTTGGACCACAGCTGCCATACTTTCCCACTGGCCAGAGTGGTTAGTCTCAAACATCTGGAGATTGCCTTGCCCTAGTTCATTTCCTTCCAGCTGTCCAGGCTGTTAAATACTTAGGTGCTTCTACCCAGTACTTCAATACCAAAATTCAAGCTCCATCATTGATGGAGGCTGCCCTTTTTCGGCCATCATGTAGAAGTTTCCCAAGAATCTCTTGGCATCCCTGCACACTTTATCTCTTGGAGAGGTTCTTGTTTGACAGGAGTGCTTAAGTTTCGACTAAATCAGACAGTGAACAGCAAGAGCTACATAATATTTCTTAAAGTTCAGGATTTGCCGAAACAGACGATGTGGGTTGACCTGGATTCAACCGTTTCTTGCACTTAGGATGGCCAAGAGATTCTGCATGATGCCAGGCAAGAGCATAGCAAACCTTCAATTAACTGGACCCTTGTTACGGATCAATGTCTGATCAATTTCTATCTGGGCACAAGCCTGCGGCATCCAAAGTAGCCAGGTTGAAGCATCTGCATTTAATTTTACATATTTTTTTAATTGCTTTACATCTTTTGGGTCTTAATCTGGATGAAATGGAGTCCTTTGTGTTTCTGAACACGCCAAAGGGGCCCTAGAGAAGCATTGGCAAGGATGCTGCTCTATCTTCCCTGTCACAGATGGAAGCCTAGGATGACGACGAGATGCATTTTCGAGCTGAACTTCGATGTTCTGTATTTCTTAGAGCTGATTATTACCGCCGGGGGTGAAAATATCCCCCCAATCCCCTTGGAAGAAGCTGTCAGGAAGGAGCTGCCACTTATTAGCAACGCTGTGTTGATTGGCGACCGGAAGAAGTTCTTGTCTATGCTGTTGACCTTAAAGGTACGTGATGAAAATAGGTTTTTTAAAAATCGATTGATTCTCAGTTGCATATTTGAAATGTGGGCCTTTCCCTGTTCCCTGGCTGCCTGGATGGGATGACTGATTTCACCCCATTTCAGAGTCACACAATGTCTTGGATCCAAGCCCAGCCAACTGGACTAACTGGTCACCCTGCTTAGGTTTTATGCGACCACTCGATTTTCCTTTGACACGGTTAAAAGTGTCGTGTGTAATTTTTGTTGTTGTTGTTGTTGTTGTTAGTGCTCAGTGGATCCTGATACATCGGAACCCACCGACTGCCTGACCCAGGAAGCCAGAGACTTTTGCCAAAAAGCCGGCAGCAAAGCCACCCGGGTGTCCGAGATTGTGCAAAGCAGGGACCGCGCCGTTTACCGGGCTGTGCAAGATGGCATCGAGCGCGTCAATGGGCGCTCCGCCAGTAACCCTCAGCGCATTCAGAAGTGGGCGATTTTAGGAAAAGATTTCTCCATTTCCGGGGGAGAATTTGGTGAGTTTACGGTGCGTTTTGTAGGGGTGCACTTCCATTCTGAGCTGGAGGTGTAGATTATTGGGAAGGCGACGGCTTTGTGAAGCAAGAGGATAAAACTCATCAAAATTGCACAAAATTTAAGCTCTTTCTGTTGGGCGTTGAACCTCTAAGTGATATGCTACTGTCAGGACTCCAGTATCCATCCCCATTTAAATCATGAGCCTCTAGCCGGATCTTTCAGAGCTTAAAGATTTATTAGGAGTGAACATACCGGTGCTGCCTGGGTGCAGTCGACTCGGAGACACATCATTCATTTCACTCTTGACCCTGGTTTCCCCCCACCCCTCTGGGTGTATCAAAATTCATATTCTCCAATGGGACACCTCCATAGCCCAGAGTCATCAATCATGCCCTTCAGTTAGAATTTCGCACTGCCAGAAACTTTGGTGCCTAGAAATTATCTAGGAAAACATTTAAGGAATGCACCACTTCCCCTCCTCCCTTTCTGGTGGCAACTCTTAAAAAAGACCAGAGAAATATTTTATGAGTTGACAGCTACCTGAATTGAGCCCACCTACCATCTTCAATTCTTTCCGCAAGAATACCTCCTAATGACCAATTCTTTAACCCTTTAGGTCCATCGATGAAATTAAAGCGGCAAACGGTGGCCGAGAAATACCAAAATGAAATCGAAGCTTTTTACAAGGATTGAAGCCGAGTCGCCTAAGCTCCGTCAGGAGAAGAAATCCTGCCAGCTTCTTTTGTAGAGCATTAACTGTTCCCATGCAAACATTACACTGGAAAAGGTATGAATAGTTTTTGCAATTGGGGCAGAAGGCATCTACTCTGCTTTATGACTTCTCAGTGTTACTTTCAATTTAGCGACCGGAAAAGACCGAATCAGAACTCCCAAATACATTCCAGTTAAGAGGCTTTCATTCTACTGCAGTGATATGGGCTAGAGATGGAAGGATTAATTAAGTTGTCCCTTGAAAATACTTTTAAATCAAACTGTGTCTTGACTTATTCTGAATTCCCCAGGAACTATTCAGTGGCATGCATAAAGGTCATTTTTAAGCCAGCTCTGGGGGAAAAAATACGACAAAAGATAAAAGTATTTTGTAAAGCAAACATTGCTTAAAAACTTTTAGAGGTTACCCCAAAATGCAGCCATGAAACTCTCTGCAATGAGCCATAATTGGTTCAGACGGTGCTGTTGCGTTTATTACGAACTTTTTACACTGCCATATTCCACATGGCTCTAAGATTATTTTATTCAACAAAACAACACTTTTCCCTGATTTCAGATTATTTTTTTCTCCAGCCTTAGTTTTCACTGAGAAATTTGAAGCCTTTATGATTCATGACAAAGCTTGTTTGTTACCCAAATACATTGCTTAGACTTAATGTTCTTTCTCGAATGAGATTTTGCAGAGATAGAAGAGGGTGATGCAAAATTGATTGTGGAGCATTTAAAGAGACACTTCTTATTAAAAGAACACACAAAAAAGCAAGATATTTCGTTGTAAAGTCTTTTATTTTCCTCTCGTTATGCATCAAATGGCTGGCCCCCACCTCATGTATTACAGACAGCTGCAAAAACTCACATTCTGATCAGTCAGAGTTTCCCAGGTTTTCAGCCCATACCAAAGATACGAAAGTAACTGCATTAAACACTGCGCAGAATCACACACAGGATAGCTGGCTACCTCACGGCTACTTTTCTGACCAACGAATTCTTGGTAGCAATGCAAGCAGTTTTGCCGGGGTGATTTCAATAGGAATGAAGACTACCTCCCTCCCAAAAATCCCCCCCACCAAGCTGGAAGTTGGCAGTCCTGGTTAGATCGTTGGTCCTGCCGTAGCTCGTATCTCCAATTTGGAAACCAAATGGGAACGTGCCACAAGTGCCACAGAGAGAAGCAGGGAAATCAATGCAAGACATTCTGAAATAGAGGTGTCCAATCTTGGCACCTTTTTAAGACTTGCAGACTTCAATTCCCAGAATTCCCCAGCCAGCATGGCTATCTGGGAGTTGAAGTCTGCAATTCTTCAAGGATGCCAAGGTTGGACACTCCCGTTCTAAAGGTTTGCATCGTAGTGTTCTACGTCAAGAAAGGCCAACAGAACTTCCAAGAAAAAGAGGAAAAGATTCCACCTTTCCTTTAAGGAGGATTGGAAGCGCCCTTGGCAGCAGAAGTATTGATGCTTTCGTACCAGCATCTCTGCAATTTCTCTCTTCCACCAACATCTGTTCCCACGAGACAAAGTCAGATTCATTCGTTGATCCTTGTGCAAGAAAACTCAAACCTTAGCATGCATTTTGTGTTTCTGTTCACATCACCTGGAACAAAAACAAATCAAGCGACCCTCAACATCCTCCATGTCACTGAACACATTTCTGATTTCTTTTTTTTAACCATAGTGCCTTGAAACCCAGTTCACCGCAGAGCAGCGCAATGAAATATAACCTAAAGCTGTATAAACCCCAAGCACGATACAAACGTCCTGCAGATACATTCTAACCCCAAAATATATATTTGATATTCACCGAGATAAATATTTTTTTTTAAAAAAAGCATTAGCATTCTTTTCATAATCAGCAGCGGACAAAGGCAATTGATATAATGGATCAGCGCTGGAAAATGCTAGAGCAAGCCAGAGATGAGGTATAAAAAAAATAAATACTGAAGCTGCAACAGGATAACATAGTTGTTTTTTACCGCTGAATGATATTCCTTCTGCCCTTAAAATCTGGATATTTGACATTTTATGTACATGAGTTGAAATGCTCAGTTTTAAGTCTTTATGCTTTGGAAAGGCAGGCTCCAGGAGTGAGTAATGAAAAAATCATTCTATTTCCAAAGGAATTTTTTTTTAAATTTTGTGCTATTTTAAGGCCAGGAAGCGGCTTAAGGACAGCTTGAGGAGTGTCTTCTACTGCTGGGGTGAGGGAGAAGAAAAAAAAAAACTTCAAGTTTTGGAGTGTTTCTGGAAAGTGGAAGAGTCTGAAATGCAAGGGTAGCTAACCATTTTATTGTTTCAAGCAAAAATGGAAATGGGAGTTTATTTCTAGAAAAAGAAAAAAAAATGGACGTGACATGTAATAAATAACAGCATCCTTTAGGAGGGATTGAAACCAGGACGACACGGAGAAGACCTCTATTCCATGGCTCTCACTCTACGACAGATCTCTGCGGTGAATTCTGAACATTTGGCGTTGCCTCCCAAATCTTTGGTCAAGACCTAAAATTGGAAAAGGGAAATTTTGCTCGTTGTGCATGGAACTTAAGATCATTTATGAATGGGAAAACTGAACAGGCTACCCGATCTAATTTTTCTACTATCAAATGTATAGGCCACACATAAATAAAGCTTCCATTTTAGAAGATTTGTACTGAAAGGCAGAATAAATTCAGAGTTTCTGCTTTTGAGTCTGGTACGGGATGCAACTTTTGGCATCTTTTGTCACCTGCCGTTTATAACTGATAGTGTTAACAGCATCATTTATACAGTAGTTAACAGCAGAGGGTGATAAAACCATCATCACCTAAATGCAGGGGTGGGCAACGATGGTGACTTCATAACCGGTGGATTTCAACTCTCAGAATTCCTGAGCCAGCATGCCGTAAAGTTGCTACCCACTCCTGACCTAGTCAATGCCTAACTAATTTTGGGGGAAGTACTGTGGATTACACACATGGAAGCCCTGAACCTAAATAAACAGGCATTCCAACCCATGATGACTTCCCAAAGTCACCTCAGTTTGGGGAATCTTAGCCAAATCTACCTTCTGGTCTTTGATAGTCTCGAAGCAGGCCGTTTCTATTTTCATGGCGAAGTCTTGCATTTCCATGTGGCGCAGCATCATGACTGCACTCAAGAGAAGCGCCGTTGGGTTGGCCAAGTCTTTCCCGGCAATATCCGGAGCCGTTCCGTGAACCTGCGAAGAGAAAGCATCCTCATCCCACTGACCCATCGCTACCACTCCAGTCTAGGCTCCGACCATCCACCCCCATTCAAATCATCTAGCTGCACCTTTCAGAGTTTTTTTAAAAAAATCATTAGGAGTGAAACATGTCGGTGTTATGTGGGTGCAGCCGACACTGAGACACATCGTTCATCTCACCCTTGACCCTGGTCTTTCCCCCTGCCCCCTGGATTTATATTCTCCAATGGGACACATCCATAGTCAAGATTCATCAATCATGCTCTCCAGTAATAATTTTGCGTGCCAGAAGCTTTGGCCGCCCAGCAATTATCTAAGGTATGCATTACTTCCCCTACTCTCTTTCTGCTGACAACTCTAAAAGGTAAGAGAAATAGTTTTGAGTTGACACTAACAAGGTAAGCCCATGTCACAATCAAAACCTTACCGATTCAAAGATTGCAACTCCGTTAGCACCGATATTCCCGCTGGGAGTCACACCAAGGCCCCCGATCAAGCCTGCGCACAGATCGCTGAAAGGAAAAAAAAAAAAATCACACACACACACACACACACACACACAAAGAAGAGGATGGGGGAAAAGGACAATTAGCCTTTGCAGTGGAAGATATTTGAGAAGCCCAATGGAGAACCCCAAGCTTTGTAGCAGGGAAGCACAATCAGGTCGCGTCAGAAGAGAACATTTGGAAGTAGAAGCTGTGGACATATCTCCCACTTCCCTCCTAGATGGATCACAATCAACTCAAAAGCTACTTGCCTAAGGATGTCCCCATACAAATTTGGCATGACGAGGACATCAAACTTAGATGGATCCTGCACCATCTGAAGAAAAAAGAAAGACAGGTAACAGTTGTTTTTAACGTAACCGGAACTGTGGCTGCTTAAATGACTCTTCATATACTTTACATACTCACATTCAGACACACGGTGTCGAGGTACATTTCATTAAACTTAATATCTTTACAGTTTTCTGCAACTTCTCTGCATTTTCTCAGAAACAGGCCATCAGACATTCGCCTGCACGCAAAGAAAAGCGACACGGATTGTGGGTCTAGGGGTACACACGGGTTTTTATTTATTTAACAGTAGTCTTCAATCACCTGCAGCTAAGCAATCATAAAAGCTTTCTTTTAGCGAGTTAATTTGGAAAAGCGGAGAACAGGGATGGAGTCTTAAATTGAATAATACCTGTCTGCCAAAAATAAGCCTCCAAAACACCTCTCCTTTCTCTGACAATGTGTCGCCGCAGAAAACATGGCGTGGTTAAAAAAAAAAAAAGCAGTTAGGATTCTGAAAATTGGGATTAGAATTGGAAAGGCCTGGAGTCATTTCATCACCACCTACATAATGTTAGCTTTGTGCACAGCCGTAACTTTGCTCCTCTGATTATTCCTGGCATATTCAAAAGCAAAATCAGCAATCCGCTTGCTTGCATCCTCGGTGATGAGTTTAATGCTCTGCACAACACCATCCACAATCTGAAAGACACACAAAGGTTAAGCAAGTAGCGAAAAAAAAAGGGGTTTTTTTTTAAAATGAAAAACCAAGTTAAGCGGCGGTTAAAAGTTCATTTCATTGAAGTGTTTGGTTCAATCCAAGCAACCTGCATCATCTAGATGGCTGGAGTGAACGTCCACTCGAACCACATACCACATGCTCGATGCCGCTGTATTCGCCTTCCGTGTTCTCTCGTATGGTGACGATGTCCACATCCGTGTAAGGGGTCTTGTAGCCCTCGATGGACACGCAAGGGCGGATGTTGGCATACAGGTCAAATGTTTTACGGAGCAGCAAATTCATGGACGGGTGGCCAGCAGCTATGGGAGTTTTCAAAGGGCCTGGAAGACAAGCAGAGGCCCAAGAGATGTGGGAAAGTCCTCGTTGGCAGCACAACATTTAGAAACTGGCAGTGAACAAAGCCACTTTTTTTTTTTTTTACACGCTGTCAGTCTGTGCTCCATTCAAAATCCAAAAAAAGAAATACTTAGACTCTTTTAATTAGAGAAAAGATATTTTTAACTGGAAATGAAGTGGTAGCTACAGTAGAATTCTGAATCTGAGGAATTAGGCGCGTAAATCACATATACAAAGTGATGGAATTGTTCCCACCCCCAATAGTTCAAATGGTTCTTCCAATTAAAAGTTGTGAATATCATCATGTGGACATCTTCAGGTGGTGATGAAGTTTCTGTCCGTTGACCTTGGCATACTTTGATAAAGGTTTGCAGCTGCGCAGAGAAAAGAAACCTAAGCAAGAATGCACTCTCCCCCCTCCTCAGTTTATACAATGCTAAGTTTTACCACCTCCAGCTCGCTTCCCATATTTGTCCCCCCTCCTCTCCCCGTTACTTATGGCAGCCGAAAGATGCAAAGCAGAAGTAGAAGATCTTGAAGGCTGACACACGCACACTAAAATGTGATTTAAAAAGGAACAAGAAACGGAACCTTCTTGGTGTATATCCAACCGTTATATAGTGGAATTCAAGCATGGGCTTATTTCCAGAACTGCAGCAAAACTTAATACGGTAGTTCTTCCTTTCTGGCCAAGTACCTTTTAATCCTATTTTGTTCTTGTCCATAGACTCTTTGGCATCTTGTGGTATCATCCATTTCCCTCCTGGCCCTTGGATGGCAGTCACAATTCTTTCTTCAAACTGAACAGGGACCTAAAAACATTTTTTGGGGGGGCATTATCAACCATCCTCATTGCTTGTCCTCGGAGATAGATAATTAAGTTACACTTTTTAAAAAGCATTGGCAGAGCCTCAAGCAAGAAAGCGCTATCAAGGAATAAAGCCACTGTTTATTCAGTAGGGATAATCAAACCCATGAAGGCATCCATGGCCAGGTTTACCTTAGCAGCTTCAAAAATCTCCACCACAGCAGCAGAGATTTCAGGCCCAATACCATCTCCTGGGATCAACGTTACCGTACGAGACTAAAAGGGAAAAAAAAAACACCACCTGTAGATTATTTGGACTTTAAAGGATGCCCTGTGATTTCTATGCCTTTTTTTTTACTCAATTGCAGCTTTTATTCTTTTGGGCTTCCCTGACCCGCTAGCTTTTTTTTGGATACAGAATTGAGACATCATCCTTGCAACGTGAAATGGTTCTTATTATTATGTAAAGGAGTTTGCTTTCTTTGTTTTAAAAGGTGTGTGTGTGTGGGGGGGGGGGGCTAAGGTTGCCCACTCCTGCTGTAAACAATGAAATAAAAAGATTGATCTGATTATGAAGTAAACCTTGCAAGTTTTGTGACACACTCAGGGTACAAATCTGTTCATGCCAGCCGTTCCAGTCCACTGCTCTGAGAACCATCGAGAGCCAATCCCTATTTCCCCACATCATCTAAAAGTTGACCCTTGCCTGGCTGTTAACGTGGAGGGTGCCAAACCCCGAATGGCAAGTAGCTGCCTCAAACGTGATCTGGACGGTTTCGAGCATTTGGAGTTTGGAACAATGTTTTGCAATTCATACAGAACATTTTAGCAACTTCATGCCTGTAGTGCTTTGTACGCTCCTAGCACTCTTCCCCATTAAAGAGAATTTATTTTGTACACATTTTCCACACGGAAAATGTGCGGAAAACAGGAACTAACCTCTTTTCCTTCTACTCTCCGCTGCTTTAAAGCTGTGTTTTTCAAACGTGGCAACTTTAAGACATGTGGACTTTAACTTCCTGAATCCCTCAGCCAGCTTGGTCTTATTTTCGTATTCTACAACCTTCTTGTAAAGTGTCTTTTAAAAGGAAGGGGGAAAAAAAAACAAACTAGTATACTCACAGTATTAGCAAAATTTCGGGTCACCTGTTTCTGAATTCTGAAACCCCCAAGAAAACGAAAGACCTATAGTAACAAAAATAAGAATATAGTTAATTTTAGCAGCCAGACTAACAGGAAAGCATCTTCTGTATTAAATCAGCACTGAATTTTAAACCGATTGTAAGTACAAGTAACGAAACAAATCAGCTCAGGAGAAGCAGCACCAAGCAGTGGCCAGAAAACCAATCAAACTGAAGAGGGCAGAGATACCCCTCCCTGTCACTCACTTATTTTATTTATTTATTTATTTATTTGATTTGCCAATTGTTTACAAGATAATAAGTATAAATGTATACATAGTTGTGAATACATGAAATGGGTACATATAAGAAAAATAAAAGAATAAGAGAAACAATAGGACAGGGACGGTAGGCACGTTGGTGCGCTTATGCACGCCCCCTACAGACCTCTTAGGAAAGGGGTGAGGTCAATAGTAGACAGTCTAAGGTTAAAGTTTTTGGGGTTTGGGGAAGAAACTACAGAGTCGGGTAGAGTATTCCAGACATTGACCACTCTATTGCTGAAGTCGTATTTCCTGCAATCAAGTTTGGTGCGGTTTACTTTGAGTTTGTATCTATTGTGTGCTCTTGTGTTGTTATGGTTGAAGCTGAAGTATTCATTGACAGGTAGGACATTGCAATGTATGATTTTATATACTTGCAGGGAACTTTGGGCATCCCAAGGCACCATAAAGGGAATACCAAACTCAGCCGCAGCCCTTGTTCTGCAGCTTTACATTATTATCAGAAATTGTCTTGCATTATTATTATTTTTCTTTGTAGTATGGGAAATATCAGATACTAGCTCGACACCTGTGCTTCGCTACGAAACTGTGTGGTCGGGCTTAGTTTTTGGGGAGGAAAAAAAAAAGCGCCTCCGCCCACCAAGATCAATCAGTATTTATCAGTTGGTTGTTTGGTTGGTTGTTTGGTTGTTTGTTTGTTTGTTTGGTTGGTTGGATGGACAGACAGACAGACAGACAGACATAGATGATAGATTAGAGAATTGATAAATGATGGATGGACATAGAGATAGATAGATGATAGATGATAGATGTAGACATAAACAGATGGATAGATATAGATAAGATAGATGATAGATTAGAGAGAGAATTGATAAATGATGGATGGGCATAGAAGTCGGTAGATAGATAGGTAGGTAGATAGATAGATAGATAATAGACATAGATGATAGATTAGAGAGAGAATTGATAAATGACGGATGGACATAGAGGTAGGTAGATAGGTAGGTAGATTAGATAATAGATTAGATAGAGAATTGATAAATGATGGATGGACATAGAGATAGATTGATAGACAGACAGACAGATGATAGACGTAGATAGTGATAAACAGAAATGGATAAATAAACAGATGAGATAGATATAGACATAGATATAAACAGGGATGGATGGATGGATGGGTAGATAGACAGATAGATGTAGATAGATAGAGATGATAGATAATATTAAACAAGTCAGGATAAATAATAGCAACCAGCAGACAAATGATGAGCCTGTGAATAACAGGAATCCTTTCCCAAGTGTGGGGTCACATCTGCCACTCAACCCCGATGCAGCCAGGCCGGGGGCGGGAAAACAGGACGACGACTTCCAAGCAGTCCTCCTCCTCCTCCCCTTCTTCCTGGCCTACCCCGCGGGGTTGTTGTGAGGACGCAGCCAGCGACGGTGGTGGTGGGGAACCAGCCTCAATAAGAGGCAGGCAGGGCAGAGGCTCCCACCTAGCCTCCCGCGGGGGCTGCCGGGAGTTGTGGTTCGCTCCCCCCGGAAGAGCCGGGGACCACAATTGAGTCGAGGCAGTTGCCGGACTGCAGCTCCCAGCAACCCCCGCGCGCCTGTCAAAGGAAGGGCCTGCCGGGAGTTGTGGTTCCTGGCCCCGCGAGGCGCCAAGGGCGAAGCCGTCAAAGTCACGGAATGTCCCCCCCCCGCCCCCAAAGCCGGGAAGGGAGGGGCGATCCAACTCTCGCGAGACTTCCCACAGGGCCACCCGGGGGTCCTCCTGAGGGAGAAGCCAAGGTCACCTCAGGGCCCGCCTCACCTTCGGAACCCATGAAGACGTAGCCATGGCGAAGGGAGCGGCAGCGGCAGCGGCGACCCTTTCACCTCCTCCGCCGGCTCGGGCCGGCTTGACGCTCACGCCGCGAGTCCGAAGGGAAGGAATCGGCCGCGGCCTCCACGCCGGTGCTGCGCTGGGGATGCGCCGCCCAATCAGCGCCCGCCGACTACCACGGCCTAGCAGCGGATTGGTGGGAGGCGGGGAGGCCTACGCCCCATCCCACCTCCGCGACGACCAGGGAGGAGCCTTTCCTGATTGGTCCGTGCGGCACCTAGAGCTGTTGAGGGCGGGGCTATGCAAAGTACTAAGTCTCGCCACGTGACCTCACCTGAATTCATATTGTCTATGTGCGAATGGAGAAGAAAGAGAAGAGACTCTAGAAAGAATAGAATGGAATAAAAATATAGAAGAATAGGAATAGAATAGAATTTAGAATAGAAAAGAATAAGAAATAGAATAGAATAGAATAGAATAGAATAGAATAGAATAGAATAGAATAGAATAGAATAACAAGTATAGAATAAGGAATAAGAATAGAATGGAACAGAATAGAATAGAATGTAAAATATATAGAATAGAATAGAATAGAATTTAAATAGAATTTAAATAGAATAGAATAGGAATAGAATATAATTTAGAATAAGAATATAGAAGAATAGAATTAGAATAGGAATAGAATAGAATAGAATAATAAGAATAGATAAGGAATAAGAATAGAGTATAAATAGAATAGAATAGAGTAGAACAGAACAGAATAACAAGTATAGAATAAGAATAGAATGGAATAGAATAGAATAGAATTTAAATAGAATAGAATAGGGATAGAATATAATTTAGAATAAGAATATAGAAGAATAGAATAGAATAGAATTAGAATAGAATAGAATTTAAATAGAATAGGAATAGAATATAATTTAGAATAAGAATATAGAAGAATAGAATTAGAATAGAATAGAAT